GGACTGCCATGCTCTGAGCCGAGACGCACACAGAACATGGCCACGAATTCTTACACTAATGCTTTGAATTCGTCACAAGAAACAGAAACTCCCTCCTTGTCAGGGTGATAGCCTTGCTTGAGCTTTCTGAAATTCCGAATTCCAGTGACGGTGGGGGGCCTGCACGCACGGCCGAGGCCCAGCACCTGAGCACCACTCGAATAAAATTTGCAAGATAAGCACACAAAAATATGAGAGGCGCCAGAGCAAGGCAGGGCGATCACCCTGTGTCCTAGTCTCTCCAGCACACCCTGATCCAGTTTGGACTTCCCAGGGCACACGCTGTCTGGTGGACTTTTATCCTCAGGCAGCGTTGAACCCATCAAACAAACCTCACACCTCCAGAGCCCACTCGAGCGTTTCCACGAGTGGGCAAGCACCAGTTTTGGGGCCGCGAGGGGAGGATTGACTCTCACGGAGCCTCTGAATTCAAGCTGCGGCCACTCCAACAGAATGGCAGCACCTAGCTTTAAGACATGCTTGGCAATCTTAATTTTCCTGTCCAGCTCGTCAAGGTCACGCGGGTCAGCAGAAGGGTGCTTCTGTAAGGCACTCTTCGCTACATGATCTGCATAGTAATTCCCTTGCCGTGCAAAGCGCTCGAAAGCTGAAATGCCTTCTTCGTCTAAAGCCTTGTGCGCCTGCACCCTCGTGCAGGTGCGAAAGAACTTACCAAAGAGATGCCGAGCTTGCAAGATCGCTCCTCCGTACTGTTTTTTGTGGGAGAACGCTCGAGCAGCAGAAAGACCCGCCTGGTCGACTACATTCTTGCAATCGATATACAGGTCCGTCTCGGCGGAGGCAAAGCAGCTCGCCCAAAGGAACGCACCGAATTCCGCTCCTTGAGGCGTCTGAGGGCAGGGGGCCCAAAGAGGGCCCGAAACTTCCCCAAGGAGCGAGTCATCATCAGAAACCATCGCGAGGCCCCATGAGCTCCTCGAGAGCTCACGAACCAAATGCCGACGGCAAGAACCGTCGGTAAAAACGTGCCCCCAGAGCCCATCAGAGGGGAGGACGGAAGGAGAGTCGGGGAGAGGAGATGGGACCTCTGCCACGTGCCACTTGATCTCCACTCCACCACTCGAAACAGGCTTGGGGAACACATCTCCAGGATGCTGGAAGCAACCATACAAGAACAAAAGGCGGTCGTAACCATCAGAGGCGGTGTCGAGAGCTGCTTCTTGAATCCAAGCGGGCACTACTTCATCTCGCATGACACGGATCTCTGCGCACTGACACTGCCACAGCCGGTGAAAGAGAGTATCGTTGTCTTTGCCACAGCGCGCGCACAGGGGCGAAATAGACACATATCCAGCTGCCACTGCGTCTGAAGCCGTCCAAAATCCTCTGCAAGCGAGAGCCCTGATGAGGCCCTTGTCCTTCTTGGGAACCTTAGAAGAGCCTGATAGGTGCTTAGCCACATCCCAACAGAGCCTATGACCTGCCCCATAGCTGTCCCCAGAGTCCCGTTCCAGACCTCGGAGCACGGCCTCCTTGCAAAGCAGCGTAATCATCTGAGGAGTATTCAAAGTCAACGGTATTTCTCGGCCGAAATCGCCCTTGAGGGTGCAAAAATTGGGCATAGACCAGCCCAGCCTATACAGAGACATCCTAAGAGCGGAGATCGGGCCCGAAACTTTACTCCAACTAAGGTCATCAACCAGAAAAAAAAACATGCTCCCAGCCAGATCTGATCTCGGCCCAGGACAAACTCCACTCAAAACTGTGAGTCTGGAGAATCCAGATCTCTCGCGACCAGCGGATAATCGGAGCAACGGCCGCCCTCCAAGGGGGGTCTCCCTCCAGAAGCGAAATGACAGACAGAGAACGGCCTTGCGCGCGAGGCTTGATCGTACTCATGCCCATCCTTCTCAAAGCCAACAGCTCACGGTCCGAAACCCCATAAACCTCGGTCCCAAAAATCCCGCCAGCCACGGGGCCAGCAGCAAAAAAAATGGTCGTCTTTCTCCCGAGGGGCTTTTGAAGCTTCCGAAGCCTGCAAGCCTTGCGCGCCGCTGCCGCTAGACGCATCTTCAACTTCGAGGCTCTACCTTGTCCGCGAGCACGGACAGCTTTGCCAGCAGCAGCGTCGATACCTAAGTTGACAATACTCGCCTTAGCTTCACCAGCCAAGGGCCCACGCTGGTCATGGATACTCTTCGCAATACTCTTATGAGACGTAACAAGCCCTATCTTATCCATGGCAAGCTTGCACTTAAGAGCGGCCGTGATAGCACAGTGCAAGACCTTGGCGCCTTGCACAATTCCCTGCACAACTTCGCGAAAAGAACCCGTCTTGCTCAAAGAGGTATCGTCTATGTAGACGTCGAAGTCGGTTTTAACGCTCAGAGGGATCTCGTCGAAGGCCGACATCGCGAAAACGCGGATCAGGGAAGTAGCCAGGCTACATCCCGCAATGATCCCGTTTAACACGAAGTACGGGCCCTCCACAAGACCATTCAGCGCCAAAAACCTCGCGGCCGAGAAAGCGTTAATGGCAAGCCTGGCAAGGGAAAGAGGGAACCCATGCTCACGGAAATTACTCCAGAGAAAAACATAACCCAATGTGCTCGTAATAGTTCCTGAAATCCCAAAACAGGGAAGCCGAGAAATCACCTTTGCGCGTGCCAACCTCGGCACGGAAAGCTCGCCTCCAAACCGCGTCGACAGGACCGCGGTTGGCACCTGCAGCCCAGTAAACCCTGGGATTGTCAGCCTCCCACTGCGCGACATCGTTCCTCCTCGCCCTTCCCCACGCCCTGTAGAAG